TTGTCGAAAACCCTGTTTTTCCCACATAGACAGCGTCTAGCGTAAGTCATCGTGCTGATGTGTACTGGTCAGCGACTGAACGAAGAATGATGCTCCTGCAGTCGCGGCGCCTAGATTTATACTCTGCACCAGCGCCGCCAGCGCGCCCTCACGGGAAAAACTTGAAGTAGTCGGTGAAAAAGGCGCCCGCACCCAGCGGGAGTTAAACCCGTGCCTCCGCGCTCGGAGCGCGGCAGGCAGGACACTCTCTCCTACCCACTGGGGGGGCATTCCACGCCAGTTCATCCGGGACCCCAAATTTCACACCTCGGATTTGGGTTCTGGTGACTTTTTCTTGAAGTAATCATCACTAACAACAAAACCATAAAACAGTTTTTCAAAATTTCAATTTGTATAGGAGATATGGCCAAAAGAAAATTTTAAAATCAGACATTAAAAAAAAATATAAATTTTTTTTTTTAGAATTTTTTTGTTTGCTTTTTTAATGGTGTGGTGGTCTAAAATAAAGAATGAAAACCCATCTTGGGTCATACGTCTCACCGGTTGGGTAAAAAAGCTGAAAAACATAAAAAAAGTTACGCGTTTTGGATTTCTCAAAAACTGCGTCTCCAGATTTCAACCAAATTTTTTTCTAAGGAAGGCCTAATGGTGCTCTAGGATGCCTCAAAATATTAGGACTGGCAATGGAAAAGGATCTGAGATAAACGACATTTTGTGTTGCGATACTTCAAAAATCAGGAAATATCGACTCGTAAAATACAGTCAAGTTCATATAAAGCAGTTCTGAGACATCAAAAGTTGTTCAGAATTATGAGGTTTGTTTCCAGATGACATGGGAGTCCATAAGGTACAATAAGAACAGTCTTTTTATCCATTGAAATTTTGTGACACTCTTAAATAAAATTTCCACGACCAAACTGTTATCAACGGGTGATGACATATCAAGGCATGGGTGAGAAACAGTGTGTCAGGTGTAAGTGCACACCTAGATATGCTTGTAAGCAGTTACTAGGCCTTAAAATCTCTAAACATACCTTTTACCTTACATACCTTACACCTGACTAAGTGTGCTCTTACACCTGACACACTGCTTCTCACCCATGCCTTGACATGTCATCACCCGTTGTTAACAGTTTGGTCGTGGAAATTTTATTTAAGAGTGTCACAAAATTTCAATGGATAAAAAGACTGTTCTTATTGTACCTTATGGACTCCCATGTCATCTGGAAACAAACCTCATAATTCTGAACAACTTTTGATGTCTCAGAACTGCTTTGTATGAACTTGACTGTATCTTACGAGTCGATATTTCCTGATTTTTGAAGTATCGCAACACAAAACGTCGTTTATCTCAGATCCTTTTCCATTGCCAGTCCTAATATTTTGAGGCATCCTAGAGCACCATTAGGCCTTCCTTAGAAAAAAATTTGGTTGAAATCTGGAGACGCAGTTTTTGAGAAATCCAAAACGCGTAACTTTTTTTATGTTTTTCAGCTTTTTTACCCAACTGGTGAGACGTATGACCCAAGATGGGTTTTCATTCTTTATTTTAGACCACCACACCATTAAAAAAGCAAACAAAAAAATTCTAAAAAAAAAATTTATATTTTTTTTTAATGTCTGATTTTAAAATTTTCTTTTGGCCATATCTCCTATACAAATTGAAATTTTGAAAAACTGTTTTATGGTTTTGTTGTGAGTGATGATTACTTCAAGAAAAAGTCACCAGAACCCAAATCCGATGTGTGAAATTTGGGGTCCCGGATGAACTGGCGTGGAATGCCCCTGGGCTACTGCGCCGTGCTCGCATGTGGAGGGAACGGCACGGATGATTACCTGTGAGCGCCGCCGCCTGTGAGCCGAGCCGAGAGCGGGGCGAGGCTGCGCCACGCCGCGTCACGCCGCAGCCGAGTGCTTCCGCCCCTCCCCTCCTCCCTGCTCCCGGAGTGCTGTGCGCCCACCCCACCCCCTGTCCTGACCTGCCTCTAACTCTCTTTCGTTCATTATTCCTTCATGCCGACACGTGTTTGATATCATTTCACCGGCTGAAATATTTTTCTGGAATTATTGGCAATACTCCCCCCTGTCATCACTGAAAAGTCAAAGGTCAGAATTCATTCCAACCTAGGGGAAAGAAAAAAAGTCTCGCCAATTTTTGGCGAGAAACAAAAGTCTCACCATTTTTTTGGCGAGAAACTAAAGTCTCGCCATTTTTTGGCGAGAAACAAATGTCTCGCCAAAATATGGCAATAATTGCAACCCCACTCTATTTGATACTGGGAAATATATCCCAGTCAAGATCACTCCGGTAAACACATCACTAACTACAGTCTTTCAATTACTCAAGTTGAAACTAATACAGGAAGCTATCACTTTCAGATATGAAAATATTAATGTTAGGTTATATGATGTGAATTTGGTTTGCGTCAGCAAAGCGTTGCCCAACTATTTACTTTTTTTTGTCATCGTTTAAAAAGACATTGGTCCAGTGAGTCAGATCCTAAAAGGTCTCTTTCAGTGTCCATGTAGTTAAAGATAATGTCTTTAATAAGAGGCCTAAACAAAGCGACATCCATGATGACACAAGTTCTTACTCACTCCTTTGCCTTATTCCAATCCCCAGCTAACCTTGCTGCACTTGGGCATTGTTGGAGGTTCCATGGACAGAACTCGGTTAATAAACTTGAGTTAAGAAAGTTCTGTGCACTATCTAGCACTCTCCGTTTCGCTGTCTCCACTGGACAAAATGCCAAAGTACAGCAGCAGCACTTTAAATCGCCAACACAGATATAATAAAGAAAACATTTTAGTGCACAGACAAGCAACACAGCAACAGGACTGCCATGTTGTGTCGTCTGCTACAGTAGCATTTGTTTTGCGGTAGTGCCAACCTATACATTTTTTTCTTTACTTGTAAAATTACTTTTGGAAGGCAGTGCAGGTTGGCACTACCGCAAAACAAATGCTACTGTAGCAGACGACACAACGAGGACAACAAATGAATTTCAACATGGCAGTCCTGTTGCTGTGTTGCTTGTCTGTGCACTAAAATGTTTTCTTTATTATATCTGTGTTGGCGATTTAAAGTGCTGCTGCTGTAATTTGGCATTTTGTCCAGTGGAGACGGCGAAACGGAGAGTGCTAGATAGTGCACAGAACTTTCTTAACTCGAGTTTATTAACCGAGTTCTGTCCATGGAACCTCCAACAATGCCCAAGTGCAGCAAGGTTAAGCTGGGGATTGGAATAAGTCAAAGGAGAGAGTAAGAACTTGTGTCATCATGGATGTCGCTTTGTTTAGGCCTCTTATTAAAGACATTATCTTTAACTACATGGACACTGAAAGAGACCTTTTAGGATCTGACTCACTGGACCAATGTCTTTTTAAACGATGACAAAAAAAATTAAATAGTTGGGCAACGCTTTGCTGACGCAAACCAAATTCACATCATATAACCTAACATTAATATTTTCATATCTGAAAGTGATAGCTTCCTGTATTATTTTCAACTTGAGTAATTGAAAGACTGTAGTTAGTGATGTGTTTACCAGAGTGATCTTGATTGGGATATATTTCCCAGTATCAAATAGAGTGGGGTTGCAATTATTGCCATATTTTGGCGAGACATTTGTTTCTCGCCAAAAAATGGCGAGACTTTAGTTTCTCGCCAAAAAAATGGCGAGACTTTTGTTTCTCGCCAAAAAATGGCGAGACTTTTTTGTCTCACCAAATTTTGGCCATCAGTCTTGCCATTCAATTTTCAGTGATGTCTTGTCCGTGGGAAAACTGTCTGAGAGAAGCTACTGGTCCAGAGCCCCCCATCCCTTCGCCCCCTCCCCTCTCCACCGCCGGTGTATTCTGAATTTGCATAACACCTGTTGTCAACGCTTCAAGACTATGTCTAGTGACAAGAAAAAATATTTGAGAGATTTTGATGTCCTACGTAATATTTATGGTCGTCGCCAAATCGAAAACTAATTGAATTTGGCCAGCCGTTAGAACGACCGGTGCGCCCTCTGGCGGCCGTATCCGGCTCCAGCTCTTCCGGCCCGTTCAATCTTGTCACTTGTCGTCCAGCCTCAGAGTGAGCGTGGTACGTGTACCGTAGAGTTTTGATCTGAAAGAAGAAAAAATGGATCCCTTCAATATCGAGTTGGACTATGAACCTGAACCTGAAACTGTTGAGTGGGAACTACTGCTCGAAGATCTTAAAATATCTTCAGACGAAGAACAAATGGAGCAGGAGCCGAACGAGGTTCTCGAGCTAGACTCAAGTTGGACCCTGTACACTGAGGTGAGTGCTTCGCTTGTAGCGTCTTGTCCTCTTTCTGTGTGTGTTTTCCTCAATGTGAGTGTGTTTCTGAGTTCACCTCAGAAAATCCTTTTCGTAGAGGTAATATTTTTGTGTCGGAAGTGTTAAAATCATGAGATTTCGACTTGGCGTCCCCGCGCGCCATGCGGTCTGGGGCGCGGGCAAGTCTCGGCCTGTTCGGCTTGTCTGAGTGTTCTCTCGTTTCGAATCTTGTGCGACACGCTTCGTGAGGGTGCTCGCGTGTGAAATTCATTAAAATTAGGGTCAAAAAACTGTCGAATTACGGCGAGTTGACGACGTCACGTGAGCGTGGGAACCGAGCTGTCTCCCTGTTTGTGTCGCTTTCTGAGAGTAAATTCACTGTGTTCTGGGTTCGAATCTTGTTCGGGGCGCCTCGCGGAGGTTCTCGAATAAATTGTGTTAGAAATACTCTAAACAGAGTAATGTTGTCCTTCCCTCTGGCGGCGTGGGTCGAGAAATCTCAGTCATTTGCATGTGTAGTCTTTGTTTGCGCGCCCCGGGCGAACGCGTGGCGGCTCGCAATTGAGACGGAACGTTAAGGTTTGATAATTGAACCTAGTAAGTGCGGCGGTTAACTTCAAATCGAGGCGCCAAGCAAAGAGGAGGTGGGGGAGGTGTGGTGACGTCACGGTCAGGTCAGTGTCTTTCGCGAGGTGTCATGGTCGCCGAAGGCTTGTTTACGTTGCCTCAGTGGGTTTCGTTGTTTTCTTTCAATGGTTTATCATTTCTGAGTGAAATGAAGAAGTGTTGTGTCGAAATCATCCGTCTCTCTGAGGGAATGAAAGGGAAAATGTGTCGTTGCAAGAAACTGCTCTAATTCGTTTGCATGATTCAGTGATAGAGAGGTTAGGTTTTCTTAAGGTCTTGAAAATGTGTTGTTCAATGTTTCTGTGTTGTTTCAGGAGGTTGAGGATTACGAGCGCCGTGTACTCAGGGAACGCAACCGACGTCATGAGCGCCATGTAAGTTTTTTATTTACCCTTTTTCAGGTGTGAAGTGAAACCTTATGTGTGGGAATCTCATGTTGCGATTTATGTTTGTTTTAGAGTGTTTGGAATCGTTTGGGGGGATTTGTGCCCCTTGCGATGGCTGAGAGCGGCAGGGTGGCTCAAGTCGTCGACCCGCAGCCCCTCTCGATTCGTGGGAGGCGTCCTGGAGCCAGACTAGGAGGTCACCATGGAGGTGGTGCAAGAACTGTGAGGCCATACCAAGAGGATGCGAATCTTGGAAGGCTCTGGCGGTCAATTGCTGGACGAGGAGCCGGACGGGGTGCAGGACGGGGAGCTGGAAGGGGAGGACGTGGAGGTGCTGCAGCAGGTGCCGTCCAACTACCAGCTCCGGCTGCTGAAGGGGTGCAGGCTGGGCCTGCTATGCCTGCCCCTGCTGGAGCAGATGGCGCTGAAGCAGCTCCTGCTGCTTTGAGGCGGGTACGCCGTAGTAAGCCTCTCGTAAGTTCTCTCTCTGCTTCCTTTGTTCTTCCTTTTACGTTTGTCTTATGTCACTAACACCATTATTTGATTTTCAGACAAATGCTCAGAGGTTCGCCGCAATCCGTCGAAGACTGAGGAAGCTCTGAGAATTTTTGATTAAACTTTGAATGCTCTGAGGCTCGCCGCAATCCGTCGAAGACTGAGGAAGCTCTGAGGGTCATTCCATCCTACTTTTACATCCTGTTACATCGACCCCCTCCGATTTGCCCCAAATTTTGGTCAAATGTTACCTACCTATAGATAAGTCGTCCACCAAAAAATTGACCTCTACAATGCATGGTTTGGCTTAAAACGCATTTTTTCATTTTGACCATTTTTTCTTAAATTAGTGTAGGTTTTTACGAAAACGGCTATAGCTTCCTTTCTTATCGCAAGACTCCGTTTAAACTTGGTACTCTTACTCAAAATTGAACAAGGAATCCAAATCTGCCGTCGGAATTGACCTAGGGTCACCCAAAGTTGGTCAAATGGCCGAAATACGAAAAAAAAAATGACATTTGTGCCAATTTCCAGCTGCAACACTAACAGGGCTCCTAGACAGCTCAAAATCTTCAGAAAAGTGCCCTCTTTAAGAATCTGAATGCAGAAGTCCCAGTATATGCTTCCTTAGGGTCAGTTCTTGACCGAAACGCGAAATACCGCCCAAAACCGCTTGTTTCACCCTCACACGGACGCCACCTGGACGGCACGGGTCCCTCCGCGTGTTTGAAGGACTAGCTGGGTCATTTTGGGGTGCAGCGGTGGGCACCCCGCACTGTTAAGTACTCTAGAACGAAGGCCCACGCGCCTCCAAGGTCACACAATTAGGCGCACATCACGTTTCCGTCCATTTATCCGATCCTACTGGCATGTGGTCAAGTGGATCTTCAATCAGTTTTTGAGAATATCACTTTCGTCTTAAAGGACACTGTTTGCATTAACATCGAAGGTGTAAGGAGGGAAGTAAACCGTTAAAATGCGTTTATTTCTGCAAAAATGCGGTTGATCTCCGTAAAAATACGGAAAATCTCCGTAAAAATATGGAAAATTTACGCAGCCTCCATTCCCAAAATTAGAGTAACTTTCTCCGTAAATTTACGGACTTTTTTTCTGACAGTGCATTGCTGTGTTCGCACTAACACTACCCACCCAGAAAGATTTGATTTATAACATTGGCTGTGGTCGCTTCACGGAATTTGAGTACTATCAAATATAGGCAAAAGCTGCATCTCTACTTCGTGTTTCCATGTACTTTAGATGTTGTATTCAAGTCATTTTTGGCGTTTCATATGAAGTATCCCTCTGAAAGTGCGCACATTTGGATGACGCTACAAAGAGTTATCTTTAAGTTACGCACTGAATGGGATAAGGAAGGAAGCAGATATAAGCAAGCCATTCTTGGGTCTATTATTACAATGCATTTCTGTAGCTCCCTTGCCATATTTACCATATTACCATTTACTATATTTTTCCTGAGGTTTAGGATTATGTAACTATTTTTTGTAAATTTTCTGTGTTATTTTCTTATAGAAAATTTCTTGCTATCAATCAAAATGTATGTGTGTTTCAAATGCAGGGCAGCCTTTCTGAGTTCAGAACACTTGATCAACCACCTTACTGCAGGTGTGCATGGTATTCTCACCAGGTCACAGTGCACACTGTGGCAGGTTTGAGTGCAAGCAGCCACCTTGCATGTGTTCGAGATAGGTGTCCAACGAAGAGACTTAAACTTTGCTTCCACATCAGAGATGCCTTCGTGGGATATCAGTGGTCCCCCCTGCCATACTCTGCACTCAGTACTCAGTACACTCTAGTTGGAGTGTGCTCATGAGTACACTCTAACTAGCGTGTACTCGGATGAGTACACTCTAACACACTTTCAGCTGCATAAATTGCCGACGCACGGTTTCGCGCACGCGTGCCGCAGACGGCCACGGGGCGCACGGGCAGAGCACTGGCACACTGGAAGAGCCTCGCCACCAGACTAAGCGAGCAACTCCTTCTTCCCCCTTGCAGTCGGGGTACGGCCCTTGGCGGCCGGACACCCGAGAAGAGGGGGAGGGGGAGGATGGTGGAGCGGTGTGGGTTTGAGTCAGCGCATTCATCCCGGGATGTCAGTCGGGCGCGTTTCGTGTCGTGTGCGCTCACATCTAAAAGAGAGTACGGTTGGAAACTTCACTCTGTTGACCTTGAAAATTATTTGTCTTACTATCAAAGGTGGCTTGTTACGACAAAGTAGTTGGAGAAGGCGTGGATACTTGGGTGGGACGAAGGGGCTTCTGCCTGCCCCTTAAATAAGCGCCTAGCGGCTTGAAAAGTAGTCCAAAGGACAAACACTCAAAAACTCTTACGAAGAAAACTGACACTATTTCTTTTTAATACAAAGAATTTTGTGCAAACATATTATGAAGCCATTTTCCCTTCGTAATATGAAGCTTTCTCTTTGTACCGTACAAAGAAACGCCCCAAAAGATTCGTAATATAACCAAATTTAGTTCGTATTATGTTTGCTTTCGTGCAGTGCACTACCGCCTAATTACTGTTGGAAATTTCGTGCGTGCTGTGCTATCCCCGCACTGCGAGGAAAAAGTACGGAACATGCCTGGTCAATAATTTGCCTCAGGGGCGGACTGGCCCGGGCGGCTAGGCGGCGATCGCCGCCTGGGCCCTTGGACCCGAAGGGCCCCTGGTCTTGCTCCAAAAGACGTAAATGGGCCAAAGCGAGCGTCGAAATGAAATGTGACTGATGGTTTGCAGCTCCGGGACGTCCTACTGCAGTGTCTACGACGTGCGTGCTCGACGTAGATTCAGACTGTGGCCACCGCTTTGGACGAATCGGTGAGTAAACGAATTATAGTTGGTCCAGAAGCGGAAGGACACGTACCTCCAAATTGAGATTTTATTTTATGATAGTGCCTTAGGATGGTTTGCATCATTGCACCCAGTTATTTGACTCAATTCCAAGCAGTTTGGAAGAAAGTTCACCTGAAACATCGTTACTTTACCGACCCCTTTTACTCTCTACATTTCATCGGAAGAAACTCAACCCAAGTCCACAGTTTTCATGCATGTCTTTCTTGCACAAAAAGGAGGAGACTCGAAATGTATTTTAATGAATCTTTATGTTCAAGGAGCCAACTCAAATTATTTCCCCTTGCATTTTAGAACAGTAGGCGGAAAAAAAAAGAGATAGCTCTTGAAATGTACCAGAGCATACGCAGACCAATTGAATTGTCTCCGAATTTCACCTCATTTGGAGAACAAAGTGACATGGTTTTTACGATTTTAGTCACAGAAACCATATATGGAGTGGTCTTACTCTGCAAACTCAACAGTGGGCTCACAGAAACTGCTAAAGGGTTACGGTCTCGCTGGCCAACCTAGCCTCACTGTCGTCTCTGGATGCTTTTGTTGTTTTGGACATATGGACATATTTTGATGAGTGTACATACTTTTTCTTGCCTTGACAAGTCTATAAAGTAATATTTTCCTTACGCGGTACATCTACACTCTTTAATTCCAATAATATAACATCTCAAAGTCCACTGTAAAATTTTTTTTTAGTCAAATTCCTATACATGTATATGAAGCTATTTACATATACACGTATAGGAATTTTACCATGCACTCCTATGGTAATTTTCCTATACATCAATGTCTATTACGTGTGTAGGCGTTCTCCCATCCGTTGTATAGGAATTTTCCTATACATCGGAATGGCGTAACTGCAATGCATGTATAGGATTTCCACCACAATGTCTAAATTAGGCAGGCTGAACCGGATGAACTACCAGATATTAAATACAACAGCCGAACTTTCCACCGTAATAGATCATCGAGTATGGATCATTACTGATCCTTCATCACGGTCTTCCAAATTGGCAAAGTTTGACTTCACCCAAAGGACACCCATGGTGAAAGTCCTATCACCTCAGTAAAAATGATGTATGAATTGAAAGGTCCTAAACTTTCTTACAAAGTGATGTGTCGCGAGCCCCCTGACCCAACCAAATTCCTAGCCGCAGCGTACACCGAGAAGTAAGTCCGTCGAAACGACACTAGCGCCATCTAGCGGATAATCCGGACAGTGGGCAAACAAGCAGCTTTTGTGAATTGTGTACGTTTTTAACAAATAATCGCATTGATTACCAGTGTTAAGACAAAATACAATAATATGAATCGCTGTTCATGAGGTTGATGGCAAATTCTTTTTTTTCAATTGGCCATATTCCTATACAGGGCTGCAAAATTCCTATACATGTCTAGGAATTACTCAAATTCCGATACATGTACTGGAATATTCCTATACATTTTCAGCCCGTATAGCAAAAAACCTATACAAATCGGAATATTCCTATACATGTATCGGAATTTGAGAAATTCCTATACATGTATAGGAATTTTCCTAGACCACTGTATGGTAAAATTCCGAACATTTTCCATTTTCCGAATCGCAATTGACGATTACGGTGCAGTGTTGTCCGGATTCCGTGGCGAGTGCACGGATTCCGTCGCCTGTGTGCAGAACGAGTTTGCCGTTGGCGGTTTTGGTGCTAAACCGCCCCGGTAAACCTGCCGGTCTCTCGGACCACTACAGACTCTGCCATTTCTGCTATCTGGCCTGATCTGACGCCTGCAAACCGTCCATGGGGTGGCAAACACTTTTCTTAAATCTTAAATTTGGATGTGTTTCCAAAGAAGCTCTTGTTGCTTGAGGACGTTGCATGCATGGCCAAAGCAAGCACCTACAGCAATCCATTGGTGGGGTCATACGTTCGGTTCGGATCCCATTTAGCGTATCTGGACCTCAAAATGCGTCTGGCGTTTTGGCCTCCTCCGCCGGTCTTCTAGCCCACTGTGGGTGGGGCGACTTGTTCAGACAAAACTGTGCGAAAATAAAATAAACGCGTCATTTTCTTGTTTCAGCTGCAATCACTTCTTGGCCATGATCACGAACGCCTAAAGGAGATCCCAAGATATCTACTGGAAGACGTCATCAAAGTGCTTAGGCCTTTAAGGGGTGAGACAAAGGCGATCCAGGCAAAGAAAATATGTCTCTTGCGCTGCCGGGATACAGCTTCTAGCGGAGATTGTATGCCCCTACACCCACCGACTCCACCACTGCAGTGGCAGTGCACTGCTGCAGGCCAGGTTGCCCCGAGCTACCATTCCTGTA